ACAGTAGAGGGAGGCAATAAATGTCCATTTTGCTGAAAAATCAGGTAAACCTTCAGAGTAAATAAATAAACTTCAAAATTCTTGCTATACATCTGCTTCTGGGAGTGTCTAGCCCTAGGTGTGCACAAAGGGAAGGGTGTGTTCTTCAAAACAAACATTTGAGGGTAGGTATTAGAGACAATCTTAATTAAATTTGGGCACAAAGCCTATGATCCTGGCTAAATCACAAGGCTGCTCTGGGAAAACAAAACAAAACAAAAACCATGATTTTAGGAACAAAAGTAATTCTATGGATAAAAGACATTCCCACCCATCAACTCAAGACATGACTTGGGAATTTTTTTCTGTTTAATATGCTTTGCTTCTGTTTTTTCAGCTCAGGAGGTGAGCCTCCATTGTACCCTGTCAAAATCTTTCTCAACAGGCAAGGGGAAGATAACTGCACAGCTGCCCTTGGGCAGAGTTTGTGAATCCTACTGGCCAACCACCCCAAGCTGTAAGATGCTGTGGTTTTCCAACACATCTACACAGACTTGTGGAGTAAAGACCAACTCCAGACTTGATGCTGCTAAGCTCCTCAGCTCCATCTTGCCATCATGCTCCATCGAGGAGATGGTCTACACATGGTCTATAGAGACCCAGCACTTTGAGGGGTTTAGTCATTACAATACTCTACTTTGTCCTGGGAAGGCAACTTCTTGCTTGGCTAGTTATGGAAGCTAAGGAGTGACTTCAAGATGCTGTCTGGCCAGGATTTGCAGATAACCATAGAACTCTTCTCCTCCATCAGGCTTGGATTTAGCCTCCTTTGGTTCCTGCAGTGATGCAGGAGCCTCCAAATACCAAATTATTATCAGGCGGTCTTGGGGGAACCTCTGGGCCCTGCAATAAAGTAGACAGACTTTCTATTGGAAAGTGCTCAGGAGCAAGTCAGCCCTGTTCACATCCCTCTAACGATCTTGCAAACCATCTCTGGACTTGGTGAATGAACACTATTACTGCACAGCTCCTGGGAGTGCAAAAGTATGTCAAAGGGCGTGACTGCTCATTACACCTCCCTGAAGCAATCGTGAGCATCAGTTACAGAAACCTGATCTAATCATGGTGTTCACTGTTTAAAAAGCAAAGCTGCGTGAGGGCTGAAGCCATGTAAGTCACTTTAGTCAAGCCACCATGTGTAAGCATTGTCTTCTGAATGAGGTGTTTACAGCAGGGGGTCCTTAAGGTCCAACTCAGTCCACGAGCCAGATCTAATCACACTAATGTGTTCTTACTTTCCCTGCTTCAGCATTTGAAATCTTGAACTGTTCAAATAAAAGAATAAATGTCTACTTTCTCCGGGAAATTTGATCACACCAGACCCGTGCCCCGCCTACCTTGAGGAGGCGACTTTCTGCAACGCCCTCTTAGGACCCTGAGGGAAGATGTTCAGTGGGGTCACTTCATATCATTTTCCCATGACAACCTGTTCCTCCTATTGACTTGCCAGATTCCTGGAAATTGGTTGCAAATCCTTTACGTAGCACAGCCTATGCCGTCAATCACGTGATGATGCGGTTGGGCCTGACTGACAGTCTCACCGCAGTCAGAGATCAAGCCATCACCTCCACCAAACCTCCGGTTCCTACCATTGTAGAAACACTGCCTCTAATCAATGAACACTTAGCATATTGAAATGTACTATCTAGAATAGACTCTTACAATTCAGTGAAAGGAAAGAGATGTCACTCTTGGCCATGTAAGATGTATATAGTCTAAAGTCAACATCTCTGAATATAAAATACAGCTTCAGGGGAGACCAGTAGACACAGCAGCATATGGCCTACGCCAGCTTCAGAGGGATGGCGGTGATACACGGTCCACTGACATTTGTTCTAAGGGCATGGGGGAAATGCTAAAGTATTTTGAAACCTGTATAATGATTTCTTTTGTCATCACCTGGGCATCTTTTGGGACGAGCCACCCTTGAGAGGTTACTAGAAGTTAGTTTGTTTAAGACATTCAATAACAACCACCTATCTGAAGTTAATCTCTCGGAACTTCATGGACATAAAGATATACTTCTGAATATCCAGTCTCTGTGCTTATAAATAGTTTAATTGGGTTGGTTGTAATTTGTTTAGTCAAAGAAAAGACTTCATAAAGCTTATTTTTCTAAAATTGCCTAAATCTAGTTAAGTTACCTAGCACTTTGTTAAAAGTATATCCAATAAAAACAACATGTACACCAGTTTTGGTAGAAATAAAACCAATGAAAAAGGACTCTGAAGACTCTGTTACAAATCCATTGGCAACTAATACTTCAGCAATATATAGTCACATCTGGTCAACACCTGGTTGATGTAAAAAACCCACTATGTCCTGTCTTAGGTTATGGTTAGCTGCTGAAGTTGCTGCTTTCCCAAGGCTAAAGCTGAACTTAAACAGGACTGCAGACACACACACACACACACACACACAGAGAGAGAGAGAGAGAGAGAGAGAGAGAGAGAGAGAGAGAGAGAGAGAGAGAGAACACAGGACAATGCAGACCCTGACGGTTAATGAACATACTAGAATGATGTATAATGTTTACACAGAGGTGGTGATAGGGGTGGGAAGAGAAGGACAAAATCTTCTTCATTCCCATTTCTTGGATAAAGTATCCATGGAAGATACGTGATTTTTTTAAAAAGTCTTTGTAAAAATCATTAAGGATAATGTCGGGGGAAAAAAAGGGTTAGTTTCAGATTATGTAAGATAAGATACGTCTGAGAATACTAGGCCTGCAAGGGTATTTGGGTGGAGGGCTCAGTGAAACATTATAAGGAAGGACTAGCCAAAGAGGCTTGGTGGTTCAGAACCCAAGTCGGAGGCCAGAAGCTGAGGGGAAGCTAGGGGCTCCATAGCTCTCTTACAGTCCCTTCCAAGTGTAGGTGACACAGCATGGCTGAACCACAAAGCGAAAAGGCCTCCAGAAATAACTAAACTATTTTCTGAAATCTCTATAGATTCTACCTTGAGGAGGCGACTTTCTGCAACGTCCTCTTAGGACCCTGAGGGAAGATGTTCAGTGGGGTCACAAGCCCTGCAGCCATCCACCCTTCTTCCGCCCAATCACTGTCCCTTTAAATAAAGGAATTTTTCTTGTAAAAAAAAAATTTTGCCAGGTGTTGGTGGCGCACCCTTAATCCCAGCACTTGGGAGGCAGAGGCAGTTGGATCTCTGTGAGTTCGAGGCCAGCCTGGTCTACAGAGCGAGTTCCAGGACAACCTCCAAAGCAATACAGAGAAACCCTGTCTCAAAAACCAAAAAAGGGGCTGATCACTTGGTACTGGATAATCAGATGGTGTGCTCTTCCCTGGGGAAGGCTGTATCTCCCATTCTCAGTATTCCTTAGTTGCCTGTAGGTCGCTGTGTAGGGTTGAGGCCTTGGGGCATTCCTCCGTCCACATTAATGTGTCTATTAGTGTTTTTGCTCATCCATTCTCATTGGACATATTGGACCAATGGTCTCTGATTGATGATTCAGCCTTACTTCTTCTCCATTGAAAAGGAAAGCAAACTTAATGTTAATTTTAGTCAACCTCAGCTACCCAGCCTAGGACTGATAGAATTACACCCCACAGCCTACTCCTGATGGAGATAGTGGTGTCAAAATAACGTATTTCTTGGGAGGACAATGAGAAAGACCCCAGATTCTCTTACCAAAGTACCTTGATATTTCTTCATATTTGGCTGCCATGAATATAGACATCTCAAGGATCCTTGGTTATGCCAACATCCACAAAGAATACCTAATTCTCAATAGTATCTTCTTTTACCTTGGTCATACCATAGTTATTAGAATCAGCAACACCATGACTTTGAACAACACTTAATGTTTCAAGGACTTTACTAATCTTTAAGCATCCTTTTGTACTTGACATATAACAAATTCAGCTGACATCTCGGGTGGGGCCCAGTCTTATCCATTACAAATTTACAATAACATCGACTCTAATGCTTAGTTCCAATTCCAATCTTAAACATAACCTTGAAATAAATGCCAATGGGTAGAAAGACAAGACAATTCTTTTCCTTATATACAGAGAGAGATCCCAATGAGTTTTCAGCAAACTGTCAGTCTCCAAAGCTAATTTTGTAATTGTCCTCCTTAGCCTTTGAGACAGCACAGTAGAGTAGCACTTAATAGCAGGTAGGATACAGAGGTGTAGCTAGACAAAGGACAGCCACCTCATCAATGCCAGGGAGCCCCTGGGATCAGGGACAGCAGATGTCCCAGCCCCCAAGGCCTCTTAATCTTGCATGAGAGAAGGCCTGTATCCAAACAGAGAAACGCTCATTATGCCTTGAATTTGCTGCTGCTCTTAAGGTCTTGCACCATATTTTACATCTGGTCAGTGGCCCAGAAGACAGGAAAAGGGGCCCAGGCTTGCCAGTGTAGGGGCTGATGGGCCAGCACAATTATTAAAAGTAAAAGCCATCTTCCTTCTCGTACTCACACCACTTGATTTAACAGTAGTCACATCCTAGAAATTAGGATGAGAAAAGAATACAGGACGACCCCAAATCAATACCACCTGTATGGAACACAGAGCCTTCCCATCTGCCTAGAATGCATGCTTTAATTGCTTTCAATAAGCCAGATTTAAGTTACATCAATTGCCTGTCAGCTATAAATTATGTCTATACATTCTAGTGACACTTCTGCTTTCTGTCTCCATCCTTCTCCAGATAAGCATGCTTGATTATAACTTCATGTTGACAAATGATTGTGGAAAATGGATTCCAAGAAAAGTCTAAGTCTGCCCACAGTTCCCAGCCTAGCAGGGGACAAACCCTGAGAATTCCCTCAGTAACCAATGAAAGAAATCTTGCCTGTAGGCCAAAGAGTGCAAGAATCCTCAAATATTCTGCTGCCCTCATCCCCAGCCAGCCTCGTCAGAGGCCCTGACAAACAGAACCATGGAAGCAGGTATGCAGCCAATGGGCCAGTAAGTATAAACAGCTGTACTTACATGTGTCTGGCTTGAGTTGACTGTTGGTGATGCCAAAGTACTGGGGGTTTTCAATAACAGGAATCTTGGTCATTCCAATGATGACAGCATCAGGACCGCCCTCTGAAGAGGATGGAGTATTACTCCCATTGGAGATGTGGTGGAGGGGGCTGGCTGAGTCGTCGTCGTTGCTGATGACAGAAGCTGGGCCTGGAGTTGGAAGAAGAAGAGGCATTCTGTAGTTTAATGGCTTCAGTTGAACTTTAAGTCGCATACACTCCAATGGGTAATTTCGGTGGGTTTTGGTGTGATCACAGAGTGTTGCCATCATCGCTCCAACCTAATTTTAAGACACTTCTCTTGCCCCCAGTTAGTGTTTCTCTCCAATTTCCCCCACTCCCAGTCCCAGAAATCCACAAATTTACTTCTCCACTCTGAGTTAACAAACCTTGGCATTTCACATCATTGCAGCCAATGTGATTCATGACTTGCACTTGGCATCGCGTTTTGAAGTTAACTCTCCCTGCCATGTGCATGGACACTTCCTTTTTGCTGTTGAGTGATCCTAAATTGTGCAGGCATGGCATGCACTGTTGATCTGTCCCCCTGCCCACTGAAGGAGTTGTGACTCTTGACTAATAAAAATAATGCAGCTGTGAGAACTCATGGACACATTTTTGTGTGGGGACACACACCTCCTTTGCCCTTGTGTGAGATGGGTAAATCCTAAGGAAGGCCTATGCTTAGCATTTGGAGCATCTAAGATGACTTACATAGCGTTTGCACCATGCTGTGTTAGTCAATTACCACCAACATATGAGGACTCTAATCCCATTTCCATTTTCTGTAGCTGCATGTGCAGCTCCCAGGACCTGGGGGGTGGTCTGTGCACACTTTAAGACCCCCCCTGTCACTGAACTCCTGGCACAAATCCAGGACACCTGTTTCTCTGGGGACTGTAAGTGATGCTGAATTTGGAGACCTGAGTTTCTTGTCTTTGCACTTTTACTCAATTCTTTGCGCATCTGGATCTGCTTACAGTTGGGAGCTGTGCTAGAGAATGCCCAGTTGTTGCTTTATGAGACTGGAGTGAGATTAAGGATACGAAAACGTGCTACAAACTTCAATGTGCTTCACATACACTGATAGATAGAGCCTATGACATTATTGGGATCCCTTTATATTAGAGCATTAGCTTAATTTATTTTCCATACAAGAATTGATTTTTAACCCCAAACCTCAAAATACATGCCTCTATATTCACTCCACTACAGTTTGTTCCATCAACACATCTACTAACTGCCTACTTGAGTCATCCCAAGTTGGTCACCAAAGTCGACTTGGAAAGATAAAACTGTGTGAGAAGACTCAGAAGGCTGAACATCACATGGATAGGAACTTCACACATGGGACTCCAAGTCTTTTGGACATGGAGCACACATGCCTATAAAGTGTATGGAATGAACTACACTGTCCCTTGTGAGAGTGGAAGGGGAGGCAGAGTGAAAGGGCTGAGTTGAGCACCAGGCCAGGCAAAGGCTTGCCAAAGAGGGATGTCTGTGCTGTGCTTCCACCCAAGGGAGTGTGCTTCCAACCCCACCCCCGCCTCGTCCCCCCAGCATGCTTTGGGGCCTCTGTGCATTCTCCACTTTTCTCCTCATCCTTAATTACTTCCATGTAAAGCAATTACAAAAACAAAGGTTGTTTTGTCAGGTTCTGATACAGCTTGAATCCCTATTCAATCTAATGGTAATCCACCCACCAAACTCCAAGATCCATTTTCCCCCTGTGGGGATTATTGTAGTTTGTAGTGATAACAGTTGGGCATTCCCCAGATAGTTGTGTCTTAAACAAAGTATGCAGGGGGAACCTACCACTATTATCGGTAATTCTGAAAGCAGTGTCTCCATAGGAGTGCATTTAAGTTGTGTTTAATAACATACTCTGGCTTGATTCTGCAAACATGTCCTCGCACAGCCAACTTAGAAGCCACGCAACACCCAAAGACAAGGCAAGCCCGCCGGTTGTGCTCATCTTGTGTCTTGCTCATCTATGTTCACAAACAGTGGAATCCCTGCCAAGAATAGCTGTAAGGACAAGTTCTTACTAATATCCCCAGCCATCTCTGTTTTGTGGTTTACTTTCTGACAAGCCTAGATCACTCAGCTTCTAGCCAGTGATGGAAATGGAGGTATGCTATGCTATGCATTTCTGCACATTGTCAGTAAAGCTTTCCTGCCACTGGCTCCCTTGCTAGGCCCTCAGAGCAGCTGCAAGGCTACCAGCTACCAAAGCTTGCTACCCCCAGTGAGGCTGCTGTGGGAATCACAACAGTGCTGTGTTTTGAGTAGAAGACAATGGAGATTTCTCCAGGAATCCAGCTCTAACTCACCTCCCAGCTGCACCCTGGAGCCCTTGTACACAGTAAACTGCTATTTAGGTCCACCAAAGAACTCTCTCTCCTCTTCCCCCATGTCCACCAAAGCACACCCCTTGTTCCTAACCCACTAACTAAGAATCAGTCTCTCATATAACTTAGGGCAGAGTGATAAGAGCTGAGGACATGGTGACCATGCATATGGAAGGGCCTGAGTTCTATCGTGGCACTGGTAGAAAAGCAAGACAATTTTTTAAAAAGCCTTTTCACTTTGTAGAAAGTTGCCGTTGAAAAATGGAGCATCGCAAACCTCTACAATTTATCAGAGGAATATTAATTCAGCTGCTGTTCCCTTCATTAGTGATGTTCCAAAGCCTGGAAGATTGATATGGCTGGCAAGGTTGTGGGAATTAAGACCATTTTTCTATGAACGTTTTAATATAATGGAGCACAGAGCACATCGAAGTGGGGAGGGGAAAAAGCTCCCGATGGGGACAATGAATGTCTATATAATTTGACAGCAGCCTGTCTGCACACTTTATGATTTGTGTCTTTGTGTGTCTGTGCATGCAGTTGAGCAGACACTGTAAAAAGGGAGACAGAAGGGAGAGGCACATTGCAGTGGTTACAAGAAACTCAAGCTGAGAACTTGAAAACCGCATTATAATATTGATACAAAATTTAAATTGCTAGGAATGCACACCGCAACTGAATTTGGGGTAGTTCCAAAAACAGGCTGATAAACAGGAGGTATGCATGGAAACATGTTAGCTCATCAGAGATACACGATAACATACCCTATATGTTTAGTATTTTAGATGTTTCTAAGTCTAACTGAACATATTTTCCAATGATTAAAATGGCCATGTGGGAAATGTCCTTTCTTCTCAATACCAACAATGCCTTCAGCGGAGGGAGAGGTTGCTACTTGTAAGCCACCGGACGCATTGACTATACTTCCCTCTGTTTTCTATGGGCTGATGCTATAGCCCCTGGGACCTGCTGCCCAGTCTCTACATACAGTAGATGCCCTGCCCATCAATGCATCTTCCATACACACCAACACAGCCTACACCGCCAAGTCACCTTCCTTGTATGGTCTTCACACTCTGGGTCACCATCCACCTTTCCTATCACCCTAAGGCCAGATACCATAGAACTCAGGAGAGCGTGGGAGGCTGGAGCCTGCTGGCTTACTGCAATCAGACAGTCCTCGATCTGCCTCCTCTGTCTCCCTGGTTCCTCCTCATAAAAACAATAAGAAAAGTTCTTGCCCTCCTCATCTCTCTGTTTCCTCTACACCCTGATAGCCAAACACCATGGCATGACATGTTCCCTCTCGGAAGCTCTCAGCCATAACTCTCACTTCACACTGGTCCTGCCCTTTAGCTGTTGACCTCACCATATTTGATGAATACAGCAGGCGCCTCAGGTGGGCTATAGCTGGGACAATCTGAAGAACAGTCTATGCTGCCACTGAGGAGGGTACAGCACTTTTGAACATCTCTAAGAGTTAGAGGTGTCTACAAAGTATTGAGGTGGGTACAGTGATTGGCTTCTTAGGAGAAGGCAGACACCATCCTCCAGCACTGCAGAGTCAGAATGGTTCACCTTTCTCTGATTATGTACCCCTGAAGCATGAAGAACCCTATGGACCACCCTGGAGTTGAAGACCCCCTGATATCTCAGGAGAATGATAGGTTGTTTCTGAAATGTACCCTTTGGGAGCTTCTTAGAGCCCCATGATACTGGAGCTTGGTCCCTTGTCTACTTTCTCTCTATTTGGTAAGAGAGGTTTTGCATTAGAATCTTCGAGACTAGCAAAGGCGTGAAGGTTGGTGATTTTTTTTTTCCCCTCCCAGGATTTTCAGCCTGAGCTTGGTCCTCTGGTCACTTGCAAATCAATGGGCAGATGCTGCTACAGAATGTTTGACTGGATGAGGTCCCATGTCAGGGTTAAAAAGATAAAGGGAACAGGCTTCAACCAGGCAGTGGTGGCACACGCCTTTAATCCCAGCACTCGGGAGGCAAAGGTAGGTGGATCTCTGTGAGTTCAAAGCCAGCCTGGTTTGCAAAGTGAGTTCCAGAACAGCCAGGACTGCTATACAGAGAAACCCTGTCTTAAAAAAATAATGAAATAAAAAGATAAAACAAACAACAAAAATAACCCAACAAACAAACATACATAGGAAACAGGCTTCTGTATATAGCTGGGCTAATAAGCAAACGCAGGACAGACAGCTCAGAAATGTGTGGCTTCCTTATACACATTTGTCTCCATTCCTCAGAAATATCACCTATAGCCAACCTTGCTACAAAAAGGAATAACAACCAAAAGAGTCTGCCAGTGATGATCAGATCTTGGAAATCCACAGGGATGATAGGAAACTGTCTTTTCATGCCTTCCATGTGATTTCTTGTCTTTGTCCCCACAGAAAATGCCAAGCAGAGTGGAGGTCCCGAGAGACCACACCTGACTGGGTCCTGATGAGGAGCCATAACATCTGCATTCGCTCCACGAGCCACATGCTCCGTGTTTCTGTTGTCTGCATTCAGTCTGAATGCAAGGAACAGAATGTAATCAGGCACAAATCACAGTGTCTGGATGTGGAAGTCTGATTTTGAGAAAAAAAATCACCATAAATGAACAGCTAATTTACCAATTCGGAATTCTATTGCACCATAGCCAACAGAACAAAGTGAAGAGCCAAACTTGCCCAAGCTTGCCAGTTCAGCCAACTGTGCACTGCACTGTGACCTTGAAGTAGTTTTAGCCTGATCTTTAACCTTCAAAAGCCATCACTGCTTAGAGTAGAGACAGCAGTTGCCATGA